AGCCCTCCTCCCCTACTTCTCCGTACCATTGTACATTCCTCCCAACAACTTCTTGTCCCTTGCTGCATCCCTAAGGCCTTCTCCCCCTAATTCTCACCTGCTTTTCTGGCTCCTGTCTCTCCTCTCAGAGCAAGAACTGGTACGTGTAGTTTATTTCCTCTTTGAAAACAGCTTGGCACGCTTGTGTGCTCAGATCATAGCTCCCCGAAATGTGAAAGGAAACGGATAGCAAAATGCTTGCAGTTCTTTTAAGGTTTCCTACACAATTAATCCAAATTGGCTGCATGCAGCTCAGGGTCAGTGTTCAAATCGTATCTTGTATACCCACTCAGACCTCATGAAAACCGGCTGACTAGAAGTGTGCCCCAGCTACTCTTTTTCTACAGATACGTGGCTGTATGTTTGCCATGTGCCAGGTCAGAGACCCTGGCTCTTCCCCTCACCCCCCCCCCCCAAAAAAATTTCAATATTGCTTTTTCAAGAGGCGGGAAGTGCCATGAATCAATTGGCATAAAAGCTGAGTGTCTGAGGTCAGTTTGAGCTTCAGATGTATGCGAAGAAAAAAAAATGACAGTAGGATTAATACAGGCAGTCCTTGGATTTACGACACAACTGGTTCCTGAAAACCGCATCTTAAGTTGAAATGTAACTCAGAACCAATTTTCTCATAAAAAACAGTGTTTTAAATGGGGGATTAGTTCCTGAACCAAGGCCCGATACCCTATTTTCACCAAAAATACCCCAGAATTTTGTACTCGATCAGTTATAGATGAGTAATATAGCTACATCATTGTATTTATATTGTAAATAGCAATCATATTGATTTGGAAGGACTTCTTTGAGGTGACTGTTGGACTTTTTGAAGGGCTCCTGGCTGGAGTCTTCTCAGGAGTCTTGGCTGCAGGTTTTTCTGGAGTCCTGTCTGCTTTCTTAAAGAAAGTGTCCAAGGAAGTTTGGCCAGATGTTCTCTAGGGAGATGAGTGACGCAGTGAACTTGTTCGCTGGTGTGGCATTGCATTGGATCAAGTGTTGTAAAGTGGAAATGGACCTCAGAAAGTTGAAATGGTGTCAGTTTATCAACGTTGTAAGTGCAAAATGTTGTAACTTGAAATGTTGTAAGTTGAGGGCTGCCTGTACATGGGATAAAACCACCTGAAAACTAGTGGGTCTGCCTAACCAGCACCCTTCACCATGACATCTGCAAGAAAGAGCTAGGTTTGTCATTGTCCAAAACAAAGCCATAGAAAAGTCTTCTCAGGACTGAATGATTTGGGCAAAGGAATTCTGCTGGGTATTGTTGGGATGGAAGAGGCAGGGTTAGAAGCAGACAGAGAAGAAATCAAGACACTTCCAGCTGGTAGCACAACCCTAAAAAAAAGTCTCAGAGAAAGTACATAAATAGGCACACTGCTGGGAGGCGTTTAGTGCATGAATGAGGAGTCAGTCTCCTGCTGTATGTCGGCGTGGACCTAAAGGCAGGTGGGAAGGCCTTGCATCCTCCCAGAGGGGTAGAGGCCACTGAGATCCTGGCACAAACATGGGAAAGAGGGATGTGGGGCTCCAGCCCAATGGCCTAGCTGCCAAGGTTTTACTACTTTCTCTTCACCCCCTCTTCCCCTCTACCACTTATCCATAGTTCTCCCCTGCACATCATTTCCCTTGTCTCACCACAGCCCCAAAATGCTCTTTCCACTTCCTCCTCTACCAACCTACCTTCTCCTCCCCAGGCCAACATTCATATAGGCATTTTTTCTTTTCATTTGAACATTTGCTGACTTATCTGCTCTACTCAGATTATGGTGCCTCACACCGTGCAGATTTTAGTAACTCGTTTACAAATTTCAGGCAGTGAGAAGAACCAAACCAAAAGTGACTGAGTACAGATCACAGTCAGCATCTACTCCATCGTCCTCTCAGCTATCATCTGCTTAGCTACCCCATCTATACACAGACATAGACACTTTTTGGTACGTAAGAGTTTCTCATACACCTCCGTAGACAGCAATGCTCTTTACTGAATACTGTTGAAGACCATGTTCAATGTTGCTTCCTCCAAGGTGGAAAGGGTGCCATCCATTGGCTAGGATAATTTCTGAGTAACAAAGAACCTTTATGGCATAACCAGAGCCTGGGTTTTGATCTGATCACGTGCACAAAACCAGTTGGTTGAATCTTTCCCACCTGAAAGCTTTTTGGTAGGAAGGGCTATCATTTGGGAACTTGTTGCTCGAGTTTTAAATCAGAAACCTACCATGACCCTACACATAAGCATACCTAGGACCAAGACAGTCCATGAGCATGTGGGCCCATTTTCAACAGGGTTCTCTGCTGTGACAACAGGAGTTAGCTCTAGTGACAGAAAATGCACAGGAAAACGGCTCCATCTCTGTCCATAACTGTGATGGGAATCTCTTCTGAATCACTAGCTCCCAGAGTTGGGGGGCCAAGTAAGATACCTTAAGGCAGAGGCATAACAGGACAGCTCCATGCCTGCAGCTGTGGCTATTTCTATGCCTAGGACTAGGACTGCTGCCCCAGTTGCCCTCCCCCAGTTACACTATTGCCTTAAGGTGCACGTCTAGCAGGGTAATGTGGAGGAGAAACAGAAACCACCATTTTCCTTACGGCAGAGGTGATGGAGCACACAAACAACTTTTTCATTGTGGGGGAAAAAGAAAGCTAATGCATTGAAAATCTGAGGAAAACTCCTCCATAAGGGACAGGTGACAAAATATTAGTGTAGGGGTACTGCTGCGAATGAGGATTTATTGGCCATTTGTGCAACAGAAAAAAACACACATAAAAGATGGGGCTGTCAGCGAAAGAGCCGCAGTGCTTTATCTGCATGAGGTTGTGTTAATAAAAAATAGTAATCACACACTGGTTGGTTTCTGCATCGCTGGAAGGATCCACCACCTGATCCAATCTATCATCTGCCTGGCTTAGCTGCCTGCTGGTTTGCCTTGCCAGCCTTGGATGTAAACAGGGAATCTAGACACACAACTATGGGCACGGATGCCATGTACATCACCTTTACACAGATATAAATAATGCCTGGCTCGGGAGGAGACAGATGCTCGCTCATCTTGGAGCACTTGGCCCAGTTATAGCACTTCACCGCTAGTGTGGGGGGAGGAAGTTGTAGCTTATTTGCCTACACAGCCTACATCAGCGGTTCTCAGCCCTTTTAGACTCAAGGCACACCCCTTGAAACATGCCAGCCCTTAGTTTTTGCTCTTTGACTACAGAAAAATAATAGAGAAATTCTGTTGCAAAGCTCTCAGAAAGACCACCAATTCCAGGATTTATCTTGCGAAGCACGTCTGCACACCCTCACAGCGCTCACATTGTGTGGCACCCATGGCACTTCTGAGGCTCTCAAGGCACCCCAGCAATGGCGACGTGTAAGGGGTGCACACTGGGGTACGTGCACCCTGAGATTGGTTGTGCCCCCCCGGAAATTGGCCACCAGCAGCATCTGCGGCGGTTGCTGCTCGCCACCCTCCCCCACTGCCGAGACCGCTGCAATCGCCGTACCCCGCAGGCTCGGCGGGCACGAGGCGTTCATGCGCCCTAGTGCTGGATTATGACATGCTGAGGCCCTAAACTTCGCCCAGTTTAAGAGGCCCCATGTGATAAAAATAATCCACAAAAATGGATTTTCATGACATTTTAAGGCGAATTATTTCTGCACGCATTTATGAACTCAAGATGAATAGCAACTGTGGAGCCAGAGATATGTATATTTCCGTCATATTAGAAGGAAAATGTCAAGTTTTTGTTTTTTTTCTTATTTGGAGGCCCGAAACTGTACCTGAAATAGCTTAAGCCGAAATGCAGCACCGATGCCCCCCAAGGGGCCTGGCACCCCGCTTGAGAACTGCTGGCTGCCCACCGCCCTCAGTGGCACCAGGACCTCAACGAGGCCAAGCGTCTCACCCTCGCGGCCGGGAAAGGAGAGGCCTCCCAGGCTGCGGCCCGCCGCCCCCCAACGCCCGCAAGCAGGCCTGTGGCCGCGGGGGGGCGCTGCGGCCCGAGTGTGACGTCACACATGGGCGGGGCGCTGCGGCCCGAGTGTGACGTCACAAAGGGCGGCCCCCTGCCCCGCAGCGCCGCGCCACGTGGGTGCCCGGTCAGCTGCAGAGCCGAGCCGAGCCGAGCCGAGCCGGGTGGGCAGCGCCATGGGCAGCCGGCTC